GACGATTTTATAAATAAGTTTGATTAATGATATTTTCAACGAGCTACACACACACACACACAAAGCTTAATACATACTTTTCTAGCCTTCAAAAGCAAAAAAAAATATATATATATTCTAGTTTCGCAGAGAAGAAGGGAAAGCGGAAAACATGGAAGTTTCCTGGACAAGACGCCATTATTTCTGATTGGCCTTGTGTTGAAAACTCTGGCAAGGAGAAATAACAAGAACATTGTCTTATTGGTTTCTCGAGAAAATCCTTCAATTTTTAGTGTTCCTATTTCTGTTCTACCACTTTATGTAATATATAAAGTTGCAGTTATTTTCGATAATTTTTTCGTACATGTTAGTTAACGTTAAATGTTACTCTTAATAATAATAATAATAATAATAATAATAATAATAATAATAATAATAATAATAATAATAATAATATAAATAAACATAAAAATAAAAATAAAAATAATAATAATAATAATAATAATAATAATAATAATAATAATAATAATAATAATAATAATAATAATAATAATAATAGTAACAATAGCAACAGCAATAACAATGATAATAAGTTTGTGGTCTACATGAGAGCTACAAGTCTTCCTTTCTTTGTTGAACAGAAGAATTTGTTTATTCATGACATTATGAATAATATTAACTGTAATTCATAACAGCATCGAGCAAGAGAACCCCCGTTGTTTGCTTTTTAATCCGTCTAACAACACAACAATCAATTTATGCACGAGTTAAAGAGCCACTTGTCATAACACAGCGAGCACTACGATCTAATCCCCTCGTCCACTAAGCCAAACCCAATACAGCGAAGTGAATGGATCTGAAATAGCTCCAAGTTGGTCATCTTGCCTAAGTTATGGTTTGTAATTCTGTTTATGTCGTTCGGATATATCTTACCAGTGTTCGTCCATTAAAGGTATATCTAGTTATATTTTTTTTCTGTCATATTCTTTTCATTTTAAGGTATATTTCTCCTTTATCTTTATTTGTTCCTCATGATACTTAACACAGTTTATTACATTACAGACACCTTTTGTACCTGAGCCAAAGTTTTTATGGGGATGAGAGTGGTCCTGGAAAGTGAGGCAGGGAGGGAGGAAATGACAGGGGTAAACCAGGTGATTCTTCTCGGGGGCGGGGCTACTCTAGATACGAGTCACATCTGCTGCTGCTGCTACTACAAGAATAAACGATTGATACCTGATGGGACAGAGAATCTTCTCTTTTATAGGGATTTTTAAACAGCTATAACTATGTATGTTCTTGATATATCGCTGAGAAAAGTTTGTTTTATATATTCTGTGGATGCGATCTGCCTGCTTCTGAGACCAATCCAATTTTTACTCGCGCGGGAAACTGGGTTTATCTCTCGGCAGTCTCAGTTGGGTGTGAGCTCACCAATTTGAAAACATGGGGAACCGATCATATTGGTGCCTGTGTGTGTGAACCTTGCGCAGGCACCAAAGGTCTCGCGTAAGCCTTTATCATTGCTAAGAAGATGATGACTTCCCAACACCTCACTCCTCCGGGCACTTTCCTAGATTAGGTTAGGTTAGGTCAAGCTCGACAGCACTGCAGCTAATAATGACGAGTCACAGCATTTTAGGTTCACAGATACAATATTTTTTTCTAATTGCGATCAAACGAAAATATAATGTCAACTTCACCTGGAAAACAGCACAAGGGACAGCCTTTGTATCTTACAATAACTTCCAAGTGTTTCAAGATAAGTTCCTCTCGTACGATCCAGTTAAGTGTTGGATAAGAAAGAATGTAACGTGAAATGCCTAAATATTTCGCCAGTAGTTTCCTCGATCCTTTCACGTCTAGGAAAGTTAGTGATGCACAAGCTGGTGGCGCTATAGAAGAGGAAATTGGTTACTCGTGACCTCATTAAAAGCTGAATCAACCGCTCAGCTAAAGGACATTCTAAATTGTGTCAAAGTTACATTATTAACGACGTTCTTCCTGCCATTCAAGTTAGAATGTATTCCTTCAAGGGCGTGATCTCGTGCAGGAGGAATTTTCAGACCACCTGATGATCAACCTCTTAAGCACTACCTGAGGGTGGGGGTTAGGTTAGGGTAGGTGCAACATCTGTGGACAACTCTGCCGGTCCCGTATTATAGTGTAATTGTTTGCTGGTGGATGTGTGCCATTTTATTTTATTTTTATTTTAAGTGGTTGAGATAGTGTATATGATTTACATATATCTATCTGTGTGTGAGTATATTACCTTAGATGAGATAAAGTATAACACAGATATAAGGTAAATACACCTGTTAGTGTTCTCTCGCCCGCGAAAAACATATAAATAAAAAAACATTATAAAATTAATTCCTTAAATGCATTCACAAATGCTTTTTGGCTGCCATTTCAAACTAGCGATGCCGGGAATATTTCGAAGGGAAACAAAATATTTTAATTTTGATTCAGATTTAAATTAAAATTCCATATTCAAAACATTTTTTTAAACAAATATAAAATGTACCTTCCGTGTATATACAGTATATATATATATATATATATATATATATATATATATATATATATATATATATATATATATATATATATATATATATATATATATATATATATATATATTTATTTATTTATTTATTTATTTATTTAAAGTTGGGACAAGAACAGTTTTACAAGATAAGAAGAGAGCAATTACACCGGGTAATAAAGTTGGCAGATATATACCATTAGACCTAACACACCAGGAGAGGAAATTCACTTGTGGGTGAGACCTGACGACGAAGTAAGAGATATTTCTGCTGTAGATAAAGAACCAGAAGGACGGTCTTCACTACTCACACGATAATAACAAAACTACACAAGGAAATAGATGAAACTAATAAGTCATTGGTTAGTCAATGTGTAGGAAATATTTCGGCAGAAGAACACAAAAGCAGGAAAAAAACATCTTTATATAATAGTGAACTGGTACAAGATGATAACTATACATAATTAAGTCAAAGAATGATGCACCATATGATCTAATGACAAACATTTATACATAAGATAGTATTGTATTAATTGTATTAGTCAATCATAAGCGAATTTTCTTCGTTGACTAGATATAATAATTTCAGTTAAAACTTATTATTTCCGTCAATATTCATAAATAGTAGGCGGTGCTCTCCACTGATGACCAACTTAAAGACAAAATACTTGATTGATCTAAAAATACAAGTGACGTCACAGGTAAGCACGGTGTATAGTGTTGGTCCATAAAGCAAAACAAACACGAAGACTTAAATAACCCATTTTGTCTCTTATCCTAGAATAAACACTAAAGCTATTCTTATTATTGAAACTATTATTATTTTTGTTTCTTAATTAATATCAGTTGAGATGTTTTCCTTGAGAACAGGGTCCGCGGTGGGCACCTGGGCGGGCGGCTTTATGTCAAACTGCAGAAAAATCACCAGGTAGGACGAGGCTGCACTCATTATCTACAAATAACAGAGCGTGTCTCAGAGTCAGAGGCGAGGCTGATGATCATGGCTTTGACAACTACACACCCAGAATACTATAGAACCTTTCTTATACATAAATTAACAGAAAATTATAATATTCTCGCAGTTTATTTTGTTAAGGAATTTGCTGTAATTATAATTGATATGGTTAGGATCAGCTATTTATTGTAATAAACAATACGGGTTGTGGTATTATTTTACAATTCCGTCAGGTTACAAAAGTTAAGATATTGGTTCGAAATCTAGACTAGTGACCAAGTTAACCACAATACAGAGTAAAGATTATGCTTTAGACCCCAGAATGAAGATGAGACATTCTTGGACCCTAAAACCACTTAAATAGAAAACTCCACCACCGGCCAGAATGTGGAGGATTGTCAAGATGTAGAATAAGAAGCAACCTGACCAAATTTATCCTGGGCTTCCATGTAAGGAATAAGTCAATTTTAACCATGGCCACTGAACAGGATGGGAAAATACCAACAACAATAACAAATAAAGATACGTATTACTATGTAAAAAGTTTGAGTAAATCTAGTAATCTTCTCGTATGCTTACACTTAGTACGTTGGAACGAGAGAGGTTGAAGAAGCCGCCAGCACTAAAGCAGAGAGACTGCTCCGCCAGCCTGTACATCACCTGTACGCACCAACATAATTAATACACCGATATTACCTTACTGTCGTCATCAAGATAAAAGGCGATTAGACTTATCACAGCCAGAGTAAAAATGTGTCCTGGATTGCTACTATAACTCAAACTTTTACTGGCATAATACTGTAATGGAAAGTTTCTACAGGTATAATCAAGAAGGTGTTTCAGAAAAAATGGTCTACACACACTGCATTACAGACTTTCGTGAAGCTCTCTTGAATTGTTCGTATTACAGCATTAAAATTGTTCTCGCCTCTTGAAATACGATACCTCCCAAGAGTAAGGACAATGTTGCTGCTGTATTACAAACATTAACACAATGTCCACTAATATCAGCAAGATTTATTTTGTTTTATCGTGAGTCAGTGTAATTATTGGTGATTAGTGTAAGACTCTGAAATAAATGAAAACAAATATAAGATTGAGTGACTGGAGAAATGTACCAACTACGAAGTAATAATTTAGTGAAATATAATCACTTCAGGAAGAAATTATATGGATTTCAATCATTTATCTTTGGCGCTGTAAGACTTCATGCATCTATAGCTGTCATGTTTATAAGAATGATAGGAAAAATAATCATCATTATCATCATCATCAGCAGCAGCAATAACAACAACAGTAGCAACAATAACAACATCAACAACATCAACAACAATAACAATAATGCTAAGCCATCGTTACAACAATATGAATAACAACAGCAACAACAACAATAATAATAATAATAATAAGGCATCGTAACAACAACAACACCCACGACAACAATAAGAATAACAAAGCTTCGTAAATCTACCTGAGTTAAACAAGAACACTGAAATTCCCTACATTACTACATTAACTCTAGGATGTAGCAGGAGTCGTCACCTGATGGTGTCTTTGAGTCCAGAAAATCGGTTCTACGCTGCAGTCGCTTCTCTGTTCCGCCTCCATCAGTATCATCATTGGTGCTGCAGCCTGTGTAGGAGACCTATGGGTACAGTGCAGGTGCTCGGGGCCAGACTTCTCTCTTTCTACCTGTTCCTATGTTATTCTCTATCTCTCTTCTTGGTTATCTTTCAATGTCCCTAATTTCCCTCCTCTTTCCACACAAGTTTTTACTGGTAGTTAGGAGAGAGGAATATACTTACTACTTAATATATGAAACAAATGAACACTGTGACAGGGGCCTCACACTACTAACCTTGCTTGTGATGGTGTCGGCGGTATGCCCTATGAGCACCAGGGTCGTCAGGGAACAACACTGAGCTGCTGTAAGGGCTAGGAAGGCGGCGTTCAAACTGCCGACTTCTAAGGTACCGACCACGTAGAAGATTGTGTTGATAAGCGAATACAGAAAATAGACTATGACACAGAACATGGGTAGAGATAAGATGCTTTCTAACTCATTATACAGTTTTCGAAGAGCAAAATACTGGTTTTTAATGACGCTAATGGATGCTTGGTCCCCTTCCAAAAGAGCCTGGGAAAGTGCAGTGTTGTTTTCAGTAAATGCCTCAATGATACACTTCCCGAGAATTACATAAAAGAATATTGGCAGCGTCAGGATGAATGTTAGCCATACGTGTGATATTAAAAATATAATAAGCAGCCACAGAGGTGTGTTGTCTATCATAAAAAACACATACAAATCCGAGAAATTTACACCGCAGATCAAAACTGGAAGCAAGATCACAATACCCAGAGCATACGATTTCTTATCAAATCTTCCCACTTGTAGTTTCTTGACGGTGTCGAGGTGAAGGGCCACGGTTTTTGACTTGGTCCAGAAGGATGTGACAATGATCCAGGCCGTAAGAGACAAACAGTAGGCGTAAACTGCCTCACTAAATCTTGTTGTAGAACTTAAGGTCGTCATTTTGCTGCTCGTCGTAAAGTAGCCTGATGATAAATTAATTATTATTAAGACTTAAGACTGAGATTCCAGTTACATATCTCAGCATACACAGCTTAAAACATCCATAGTGACGGCAACAATCCGTTACTTACGCATATGGACAATAAGGTACGCGCTCCCGAGAATGATTGCCATGATCAGGGAAACGACAATCTTCAGGATACCTAACGGAGATCCCACGGGCCCTCGGACGCCACCAGGCAGCAAGGAGAACACCACACAGGACACTTCAAGAGCGTCTAGCATCCTCGTGCCGTGCGGACTGTCGCAGGTCGCACAGAACGCTTCCCTGATGTTCTTATTTGAAGAGCTTTGGCGGACCATCAAGTCAGTGGCTATGGAGCCCATATGATGGGGCTCTGACTTACTAAGAAGAGAGACGTCCTGAGAGCTGCCACAACTAGAGGGATAAAAAATAAACACCAGTTCCCTACGGCTCACTATGATAACAGCAGCAACACAAGGGCTGCTGGCAAGAGGCAGTCTTAAGAACGAGAGAAAGAGAAAGAGCAAAACTATGGAAAAGAAAGAAAATCCGAGAGAAACATTACAAAGATACTGAATACATTTAAATTCTATATATGAACAATTACCATCATTAGTGCTCTATATTCCTTCATTGTACTTAATAGATGCTATGTTTAATGGCAGAAAATAGCCTTTCCTCTCTTTCAGCGCCAGGAAGAAAATGACTTACTTCAAATTCTCCCACAGTTCAGAGATGGAAAATTCGTTTCAGGTTTTTCCTCTGTCCTGGGGAGAAAAAGTTTCATCTAACATTCTTCCAGTGTCTCAGAAAGAAAGATGAACCGCGTTTTCTCTGAGGATCTTCAAGAGAAAGCTTTACCTCGTCCCCACTTTAAGGTCATGAGGCTTTTCTATACTTTCTAAGAGCATCTCGTTAAGAAAACTTCACTCTACTTTCTCTAGGATCTTCTGTATAAAAAGGGGAAGAATTTCTATATTTTTTATCACAGTGGTGTAAATAAAAATCCGTTTTACCTATATTTACTTAAAAATATTCTCGTATAAAATTTTCCCAGGATGAAAGAGGATGTTAATTATTTTGTTAACACTATCCTGAAAATAAAATACCACTTGAATTTTGCTTTTTGTTAAACCCAACCCAAATAACACCAACACACACACACACACACACACACACACACACACACACACACACACACACAAAACAAACACCAACACATACAAACTCGTCCAAACTTACAACAAAATTTTGATAATAAAACAGTAATATACGCTCATTCACACATAATTATACTCACACCCCTGAAAAAGCAAAAAACAAATCAACGGCTTCTCATCACAAGGGTAAGTTGGACCCTTGAGGAATACGGAACTTAATATCGTCTTCCTGGTAAACAACAGAAGGTGTAAATTAGGGTCACTACACACGTCTCATATTATTGACGGAAATATGAAGGTAACGCAATGCTATAAACTGGTATTATGATATTCCTTTAGTGTTGTATTGATCACCTTTGGATGTTACTGATAGGAGAGACAGGTATGTTTATATATTTTATTCAGTAATATTGAAAGGAATACAAAATTAATATGGAAGGGATATGACTTTGTTTGTCTTCCTCTGTCGTCTACTCAAGAATGCCGTATGAGAAAATCTTTACTTGCTCAGGAGGAAAAAAAGTAAATGACATCACTATCAAGTCTTTTGTTTTAGTAGCGATTTTTTTCTTCTTCAGGGATGAAATGAAGATCATGTCACGTCCATTGTTGAAGCTCAGTAACAACATAACAACAACAACAATAACACCACCAACAACAACAACCTCTTTCCATACTCAAAGAATTAAAAAAAATAAACAAATAGCGAGATGAATACATAAATAGCATATCATTTCTATTTTTTCATTAACTGATTACTGCAGGGTAAGTATCTTTGTCCAGTATATCAAACACATCCACTTACTGATGTTCAGGCTCTGTTAGTGTCCTCGGGATATCAAGAGTTTTGAGTGAATTTTAACCAGTGCTTGCTAGTGAGTGCCAATGGGAGTGTCTAATATACCAGGAGCGTCGACGTAGGAGAGAAACAAAAACTCGAACAAATTTACCCGAGGAGGAACTGTTCTTGTTGTTATAATGTTATTACTGAAGTACAATAACGAAGGTATTTTAGCGTGTAGAGGGGGAGAAACTGGAGGTACTGAGTAGGAGGGGAAGGAAGGGGGGAGGGGGGAATGATGACCTCTCCCCACCTTGATCTAGTTAAGTTAGGTTGAGTTAGGTTAGGTTAGAGGTTCTTTGCGGATCCCGCCTGGGTTTATGGATTTCCAGGAGCGTTCTTGCCCGGCTTTTGATCCCCGTGTTGGTTGCTACACTAGGCTTTCCGTCGGCTGTGAAAGCTTTGATTTACAAGTCTTCCCTCTGTGGAGATATTACGCTCCGTCGACAAGCTTCCCGTTTCATGGTAGATTTACTTGCTTTTGGAATTAGTGTGTGATATTGTGGTGAACATTCGGGCTTTACAAAAATGACAATTGTGTACCTATAACTCTTGCTTGGATAACTAAATGTTCCTCGTTACATATATAAACACACGCACACACGCACACACGCACACACACACACACTGTATACTCTATTGATCGTGGGCGTCTCTCGGCAGAAATGAGTACTAACCATACACAACATACATCATACAAAACACACAACATAAACGAGTAATACATAATATACATTAGAGGTAGACATATTATTTATACAAAGACTGTTGCTCGCCCTCCCTGTACAAGATCAATGGACTAAGGTCGTCGTGGTTATATTAATGTTATCACTATGCTTCAACAATCAAGGTCTTTAAGCACGTAGCAAGGTTAGTAATTACACTATTCTGACACCATGAGAGATAAAACTACGTGAATATTAAGATTCCAGGAAGAATAATGAAAACTGATAATGTTCTTGGATAAACGACAATGAAGATAATAGATAATAACAATACGAATTATATCTAGCAACTGTGATACAATAATAATAATAATAATAATAATAATAATAATAATAATAATAATAATAATAATAATAATAATAATAATAATAATAATAATAATAATAATAATAATAATAATAGTAATAGTAATAGTAATAGTAATAGTAATAATAATAATAATAATAATAATAATAATAATAATAATAATAATAATAATAATAATAATAATAATAATAATAATAATAATAATAATCCACTACCACTATTACTACACCTAGCATGGTCTAATGACAGCAGTACTAAGAACGAAGCTCATTAATACGGCAGAGTAAGTGAAACATGGATAGCAAACACCGTAGACTTTTTCAATTCACCGCGCACCGTAATACAGTAAATAATAATAATAATAATAATAATAATAATACTAATACTACTACTACTACTACTACTACTACTACTACTACTACTACTACTACTACTACTACTACTACTACTAATAATAATAATAATAATAATAATAATAATAATAATAATACAATCATTTCGAACCTCACAGGTACACTCATCCTCAAAACTACAATATTGTCCTTAAAAACACATATAGGGTGTCCCAACTGTCCCATAAAAATGTCACTGTCTCCCTCCGTGCCTCCCTCCCTGCCCTCTGCTCCCTGCCTGCCTGCTCCCTGCTTCCCTGCCTGCTCCGTGCCTCCCCCCTGCTCCGTGTCTCCCTCCCTGCTCTCTGCTCCCTGCCTCCCTCCATCCCTGCCTTACTCCCTGAGACACTGTTCGTTGGAGGAAGAGAGGGACATTTTGTGGAACACCATTTATATGTGACCTAAAAAGAGCACACCTGTCCTTGTATTAACTAGTCTACAATTCACCATGATTGATATAATGACACCCAAGTTTGATATCTAAAACCAAACTGGACGCCCCACACACCATTTGACCTCTTCACATAATTGACCCTATATCTGACTTCGCATGTTATGTTTAACACTTTACACAATATATGAACCCACAAGCCCCAAGAACTGTTCACAGATGTCCATATTATACTCCACAAATAGACGCAATGTTTAGATTAAGCGTTTATATTCAACACACTAACCTAACCTAACCTAACCTAACCTATCCACACACACACACACACACACAGTAAAGTCAATCTCTAATGCACCAAACTCAAGGATCTTCACACCTTGTCTTGACCCTCACACACCTGCGACCTTACCTGGCTCATGAGAAACCCGACCAGCAGCGCTCAACTTAACCTTCTGAGGGTTGACACAAAGCGAGGCTGATCACCAAATGGTTCACGTGATCGATACCTGCCAGCACTTTACAGCGGTGTGTGTGTGTGTGTGTGTGTGTGTGTGTGTGTGTGTGTGTGTGTGTACTCGTATATGTCGGTTTACTGCCCTCCCTCTGATAAAGTTTACCTAACCTAACCTAACCTAACCTAGAGATGAACAGCAGAAAAGTCTAGCCTTCACTGGGATTCTATTTTCAATATAGGCAAATAAATTCACAATCAATTTTCGTATAATGTTGACATAAATCTAAGAGTGGAGGAATATATTTGTATTCGTCTGCAGTGTTTTGTATTCGTTTTCATTTATAGGAATACTTTTTACGTTCCCTCATATAAACCAATACAAAACATTTTCATGATGATTACATTATTGACCACTAGCAGACACAACACCTCCGTATAACATCAACTCATTCATGATTCTCTCGCCTCATAAGACAGACGAGTTAGTTTGTTGATCCTGTAAACACCTGTCATATAGCCAACTCATTTGTGTAATAGTTTGTCAAGTGACGTCTATCGAACCCAGAATATAATTGGAACAAGAGAGGGTGTATCTTTTCTCAGTACTGTAGTCTGTCTCCTACTGTACTATAAGCCCTGGAAGACAGAAATATTAAGTATGGTGTAATTTTATGGTGGCGTTCTCCCTCCCTCCCTCCCTCCCTCCCTCCCTCCCTCCCTCCCTCCCTCCTCCTCTCTCTTTATCTCCTCTCCTCCCTCCCTCCCTCCCTCCCTCCCTCCCTGTCAAGAACAGCACTTACTGGAAATACATTATCAATAGATGCACTCACTCCATGCAGTAAGTGTCAGCAGTTCACAGTCATTAAAGATGTAGTCATAGCTCAGTCGGTATTGAATTTTGTTATCGAATTATACTTATATGTAACAGAGGCTCTTTTAAAGATGATTAATATTACACGAACATTTACTTATGATAAATTCAGACTCTTGATACCTTATGTTCAAGTAAATTTCAGTTTAAAAGATATTCATGTAAGTCAATGCTATTTTTTCTAAGGGAAAATTTATCCTTATGAGTGAAATTTACGCAAACACATTATATACAACACCCCTCATCCCCCCCCCACCCTCCTCTAACCCCTTCCCTCGACGATCTCTCTACCTCCTCCCATCTCCCCCTCCTTCCACCTCCCCTAAATCCCCCTCCCGCCACCTACCACTCTTTTCCACATTTCCTCAATAAGAGTTAAATGATATAATCTGTTTTGAGGGAAAATCGGCTTTTCTCAAGGATTTCCCATCAATAATCCTGAAGAAAAAAACGTAATCTTATAGTAAACTATTATAAGCGTCACTGTACCTGAGATAAGACTTGACTCTATCACCAACGACACAAAGATTATTATATGACTCGCTCATACATACACTAACAAGACACAAACTACCAGTAGACATTCGATTGCCTGATTCCCTCGTTAAGCAACACGTAATAAACAACTTCCCTCCCTTACATTACACTCTCAGAATATTAGAATGATCCATCGAGTATGAGAACGTTTGCATTCAAACTTTTGTTTTATGAAAATTATCGATAAAACATTCAAGATTACTGAGCTGTTAAAAGTTCCTCTGGTAATACTGCAACATTTTCAATTCAAGATTTATTTAATAGGTCTTTAATCCAGAACAACGATCTCCACCTGGCATATTAGATCTACATGAGCTCCACCAATTTCATTCTCCTTCGCTACAAATGAGAGGACACTCGACGATATTGCAATTCCAGCTAAATTATGCGTTCAGGAGTATGTACCGTAACCGTCCTATTTTAGCTTTCAAACACTTAAATATTGATTAAATTTTTTTTCTTGAAGTATTAAGTTTAATTTTGCATAACATAGTGTTTAAACATAACGTAGAATCTGTTAATGGATGTTTGATAACTCTACTGTCTCTCCGGTTTAATCCGTATAATGATATTCCTCCAATTCATGCAGTGTTTTTATTTTATTTTTTTACGACACATGTTGATGACAGTTTGTTAATGTGACACGAATATATAGAGGCAATACGTAATGAACAGAAAAATGGTTTAGGGAATTGGTATGTAACATTATGCCATCGTTCAGTTTTATGTACAGGTATAGGTTAACGACGACACGAATCTACGAAGAGACGTTATTGGGTAGTTGAGAGGCAGACGAAACATCACGATTAAAAAGTTCCTCAGACATCATCTTCTCCAGTGAAATTCAAATAGTTAGGTGGCAGTAATGGAAACACGGGGTCAGGAGTATAGTTAATAGTTTGGTGGCAGTAATGGAAACACGGGGTCAGGAGTATAGTTAACTCTGTGTTTCATTAGCTACCTGTTGCCCCTGACGCTTACGTATTCCCCAGTGTCAGCACCACCGTCAGCATCACCGTCAGCATCACCGTCAGCATCACCGTCAGCATCACCGTCAGCATGAGTTTCTGTGTTAGTGTCTCCACTGATATCAGCGCTCACACTCAGGTTAAAATTTTCGTGTGGGTCTAAGACTGTCAGCAGCGGCAACTTTTTTTTTTATTTCAACACGCAGCATTACCTGACTGAAAAACCGTCGAACAGTGACCTTAACTAAACAAGGTCTCAGTTCATCTGTCAGTTCTTCATGCGATCCCAATGTTGGTAAACGAGCCATTGATGCTAAGATAATGATCACCAATCAACATACGCGTAATTAGAGGTGATGAAAAGCATAACGACCTGAAGTACCGACTGTAATCATGCCAAGGTCACAGCGTCATTACACCCGGGACACTTAATTGCGAAGATGAAGAAAAATATACAGAATTAACGAATTATTCAACGAACAAATTGACTAGCAATTCAAGGAATAAACAGATGACAATAATAATATACCAGTGAGTGTCAGTAGACGTGTTTTGTGACCTGTTTGTTGGCAAGACAGACCCACATACGAGTTAATGATATAATGTATTACTGTGTTTCATCAGCTAAGTTCTTTGTTTACATAGTTTAGATTAGTACATGCACTAATCATCAACACGTGAATATGAAAAAAAAACTTGAGAAATAACCAAACGATGTTAACTCAATGAACCACGTTTAAACGCACTCTAAATATAGTGTGTGTGGGGGAGGGGTGGATATAAATGATAAGTTCCAAACTTCTGGAATCCTAAATTTCACCATAATCAAGAAAAAAAAGTTCATATAAGATGGAGAAAGTTTGCTAATCCTTTAACAAGTTACTTAAAACCCCTTTGTCAGTCACTTTATTCCTATGGTACTTTTTATGAATATATGATTGGACATAAGCTAAATAAACAAACTAAATAAATAAATAAATAAATAAATAAATAAATAAATAAATAAATAAATAAATAAATAAATAAATAAATAACACTATAATATTCTGGGACTACAAGAGGCAGGCTAGTGAGTGGAGCACCAACAATAACATTACATCATCAACATTGCTGCTATAAACAGTGGGTGGGCGGCTGCTCCTGTGAGTTCTGTGGCGTTAATGGCCGGCCTTTCCTTGCCACCTCATACTCACGCGATTATCACTAATGGTTTTCAAGTATTTATTAGATTAACGAGAGAATTTGACGTTGATTATTTGTTTTTTTAATGAGAATCAAACCTCACTCTCGTTATGTTATCACCATGGTTAATAAAGGCTAATTGAATGGAAACCGAGAAGATGGGTTTGAATTTCTTTTAAGTACGTAGATGAACAACAAGAAATAGTCAACCTTTTTTTTTTAAGCTTCAAAACACAACAGAAACTAACAGCAATATGACTGTCCTTCACAATGATCAGACTTTATTCCTACAGATTTTTATGTTCCTGTATATTACACGTCTTTAAAATATACATACAGTATACATATCGGGTTCACGTATACAAAAAACCTATATATATATTTACTCTCAACCTAGTTCCCGCTTAACACACAACAGACGTAAATAACCACAATTATTTATACACAGTTTCCCTTTTATTCTAACTGTTGTATCACTGTGGGTGTAACTAGAGTTCTCCTCGTCCATAAAAAGACACTCAATCTCTTTTCTCCTCAGTGTCGTCCATCAAGCAACATTTCCTGCCCCACATAACATAAGCTGCCATGTTCTCCTCTCATTCACGCACACTGTTGTTTCGTAGGTGTCCATTCCCCTTCGTTCTATCCCCCTCTTGGTCTTCCCATTTCCCTCTTTTTTATACACTCTTATTTTCCATAGTATCTGAGCAGATTCCGAACCGCTCTCTGTCCTACACTTCTTTCACTTCTGCATCTCCTTCCTTCTGTATTTCCTATCCAGTGGAGCAACATTGTCAAAATCTGATGAAATATTAGTTAACTCAGGTGTTGTCTTCGGTTTTCACTTTGATTAAATTAGGAAATCAATAAATTTTTCAATTCCTGATAATTTTTATTTTTAATATTGTTTCTATTGTTAATAAAGTATTCAGCTAATCACATTCAACAAAAAAAGAAAAAAAGAAAAGCCAACAAAGAGAGTCCTACACTTTTTGTTATGTCTTGAACACATTTCTCCAATTCTGTGTTTCGCTGATTTTGAAAACTCTTGATCTCCTCATGAATGAAACATCTCAGGAACGATTGTCTTTAAATGTACTTTTCCACGTAACATTTTTTTATTGCATTTTTACTGACCATAACAACAGCAGCTGTGACCCTTTATGATCCTCGCTCTTTTATAGTGTGTCGTGTGTGTTAACTTTGTCGTAATGAAAACTTTCTTAATATTCTCTCTTTCTTTCTCTCTTCATTCCGGTGGAGGGACAGGAGACAGTGTTCGACCATCCCCGAATACATCCGCACCTCCCTACCAAATTTAAGTCTGTCTTTAAAACTGTGGAAATGCATCCGACCCGAGGGTGTAGGTACAAGTGACAGTACACGACCCACCCTCGAGTTGGTCTATGCTGATAACCGTATAGGATAAGGAGTTACACGGAAGTGCTTGGGAACTTGGTGTTTTCTTTTTCCTATGTGATAATCAGCCTATCCATGGATCACGCGCACAGAGTCATTCATTTGCATTTATAAGTCAACAAAAAGCTGGAAATTAGAACATAAAAGCCCTCCTGAACCACACAAACCTGGATTCACCTCATATAAACACGGAGTTAATGGTATAAATGACACACTGGAGGGGAGACTCTGATTGTCACGAGGTCAATATATACATCTCGCCAGCCAGGACAAAAATATGACCACTTAACGCCACATTGAACCAGGAATTTAGCAGTCGGTCACCAGAAACATTTTGCAATACATGTTTAGGAATTAGTTTGAAATAAAAAAAAGACAATTAGATAGTTACTATTAGGGCACCGAAATATCCATTGGAGCTGAAAAATTGGTTCTTTTGATGTTGGCTTAATCAAAGGCCAGTAATCTAACGCTCTACTAACTAGGTTCGAGTAAACACACATGGAAAATCGTTGCTTTTACATGTGTTGATTGTGTGTGTGTGTGTGTGTGTGTGTGTGTGTATATTTTGTGTGTGTGTTTTGTGTGTATATTTTGTGTGTGTGTTTTGTGTGTATATTTTGTGTGTGTGTTTTGTGTGTATAGTTTGTGTGTGTGTTTTGTGTGTATATTTTGTGTGTGTGTGTGTCTGAGATCTCTTTTTAAGAGTGTGTACATGTGGTTTTGCGTGTGTGCATATGGTTTTGCGTGTGTGCATGTGGTTTTGCGTGTGTGCATGTGGTTTTGCGTGTGTGCCATACATTGTTGGTGTTTATGCGTGAGTGTGTACAGTATAAATGTTTAAATATGAGTGTGTGTGCCGGGGATGTGCTGTCGTAAATACTGTACATATAGGAGACTAATGTATTATATGCTCTCAACAAACGGACTGAAATGGAAGGAAATGACGATAAACAATTTAACAGTAAAAATCGGGTAACATAATATTTTTTTACAGTAGTGGAGGAGTGGTTATCATACTGGGGTGATAATCCAGTATTCCTGGGTTTCAATCCCCATTGAGGAAGGGATACGTGACTGACGCCTAAGGTTAGCCAGTGATATTATTATAAGAAGATCCCTAACAGCTTGTCATGAAAACCTAACTGCCTCACAGATACAACCGAGTATGTGAGGCCAGACACGCGTGGCCTCGTGTGTGTTCCATGTTCAATATAAGTCACATTATGAGGACACACTGCCTCTTATTATCCACCAGTGTTAAGAAGAACATAACATACTCAAACTTATACGGTATTATTATACGTATTATCCGAGACTCGTTATTGACACATGAAGCTCAATATATAACCGAACTTAATCTTTTGTTTATGTTTTGAGATGACAGGCCTTCTCTACCTGGTGCTATACTTAACATGATAACACTGAGGCATGAATAACAATGACGAGGGTATTCATTCTAGCTGTACCTCAATAGCCACACCGCCGTACTTTATGATCTCAGCAGAACAGACAGCTACCAGACGAGGACTTTCACCTTTATATCCAATATCAACAATTTAAGGTTAGAGTCAGCTTTCCACTAGTTAGGTTACGTCAGCTTCCTTCAAGAGAAACTGTATTTTTCCTGGTCTGTCAATTTATCACGTGTCCCAAAGTTTTCTGTTTCCATCGACCGCCTGCAGCTGTCTTTTTTCTTTAGGATATTTTATTTGAAAGAGTGCAGATGCTCTACTGAGGTCTAGGACAACTACCGCTACTAAACTGAAAAAATGCGATGAATTTTGAAATATAGTTTTCTTTTGGTTTGAAATGATTTTCTTTTAATTTCATTAAGATCTTTTCTAGTTAATATCCTGTTACGTTTCATCTTAAAGGAAATCACGAGCAAATACTACCGTGCTGTAAGTTCATCAAGGAGAGCACCTCATACCCTGCTTCACGAGACCAAATTTTCCCAGATACATCACCAAATTCTTATTTTCCAGCCTTAGCGCTGAAGTCATCCAAATAACTTTAATGCTTTTTTATTTTATATGTATATAAATTCGAGGATTTCAATGAAGAATTATTCTACTTCTGCATCCGAGTAGTATTAAGTTAATGCATATTATTAAATAATTTGGAGCACAAATCTACTGATGTTCTGAGCACTGGGCTGGCTTAACACTGATATATTTTCGTCTTTCTTAATACAGATTTTCAATCTCTTATGAAAGAGAAACCAGACTGTTCTTCCCCGCTGTTATTAACTCTTCTCGTGTACAAAGAGTTACTGTCTTGCCTAAGGGATATTAACACGTTTATTTAGTTCTGTAATATTAAAAAGATGTGTTTGGTGGCTATGGAAGTTGCTTATAGTTTTAAATACAAGATAATATACCCGTACAGTGGCCACGGAAGCTGTTTAATACAAATATTATGATGTGAGTGAGTTAGTGTTGTGAACGTCACCAAACAGATCTAAACGACACAGCTGACCTGCGCCTCACGCGCCTCATCTCGCCACTATTTC